TTTAAAAATGTCACAATTATGCTTTATTTGCAATAAACTTTGGACGGAAAGTGAAGCTGTTACAGTTAGTCGTAGAATGAAAACTTTGATCGATGCCAATATCGAAAGAGGTGATGAGTTTGTTGATTATCTGAAAAGTAAAAAGTCTGTAACAACGCACGTGGATTGCCGAAAATCATACACCCGGAAAAGTTCAATTGCTGTTATTAAAAGGATGGACAAGCTAGTACATCAAAAGTAAGTCCACCTCGTACTAGAGCACGAGAAAGTGAATCCGACTTTTGTTTTAAAAAATGTTGCTTATTTTGTGGCGATGAAGCGGATGAAGATTACGTATCAAAAGCTGTCACTGAACGCATTAAATTTGAGTATGATTTAGTTGCTGATGAGGCTAAGTATCATGACAATTGTTACAAACCTTTCCTGAGACCTAATACTGGCAGTAGAGTAGGACTTCAAGATGAAGCAGCAAACTTTGCGATGGAGAAAATTCATAATTTTATAGAAAGTAGTGATGATTGCCTGTTTACATTGGATGAACTAAAGAATGTTAATAAAAATGTAGCTTTAGATAAGAGAACTATAATAATACGATTGAAAGTAAAGAATGGTAGTAGAATTATTATTATAGAAAAGCCGAAAAAATTAACATTTATTTGTTTCGTCGACAATTACCAAGACAAGTCAAGCCTGGTCTGATAAAAAAAACTTTAATAAAAAAGAAGAAACAGCAATTGAACAACTCAATGCAACAAATACAACCGTTGTGGTTGGTAAAGATGTTGATTTATTAGAACTACTTACTGCTCGGACTCCAATTGATAAATAAAATTTACTTTTAAAAACCTGGAAAGGCTCAACCGCGAACAGAAATATACTATTCAACAAATGCTTATCCAAAATGCCAAAACCATATTTTATTTTTACATGCGATAACCGGCTGCGATACTACATCAGCAATGTTCAGAAGGGGTAAAACATCAGTATTAAAATTATTTGAAAAAATGGATTTAATTGATTGCGCTAAAGTATTTGAAGAAATTGACTCTTCTCCTCAAACGATAATCACAAAAGGAATTCGCTTTCTCCTTAAGGAGAACAATTGTTGTTTATGGAGCTCCAAAGAAAATTGATTGTATAGACAAGTATAGATATTTAACTTTTGTAAAAAATACACGGAACAAGAAACAAGTACAACTATCTTGTCTTCCTCCAACATCGGCTTCTACACACTTTTATAGAGCATTTTATCAGGTTCAGACATGGTTAGGCAATCAACTAAACCCCGAAGACTGGGGTTGGAAATTAACAGACAATATTTTGGAACCGATTCAAACTATCCTCCTAAACTCCTAAACTCTAGCGTGTACTAATTGCCAAGGCCAGTCTTGCTCGAATGTTTAATCGAATCATATAGACGAAGATTCGTTTGATATCGATGAAGAGACTGCTGATTCATCTTCAGTTGAACAATTTATTGACATCCAGCAAGAAGAAGAGGAAAAAGAAGAAGAAATCGAAAAAGACATGACTGTTGAAGTGGAATTTGAAGAGTATGAATCAGATTAAAATATTAACATAAAATATAACTACAGTGTAAAATACTATATCACCTATATCAATATCAGTAATCATCATGCAGTAAATATAGTATGTTCCCATAAAACTCATGGAAACCACGTTAAAAAAAGCGCCAAGTACTCTACCTCATAGGTGGCGTGGAAATGTGTGCATATCATGTAGAATGTAACACCTTGAACTTTTAGAATGACGATATCTTAGGAATGGTGATTCTTAGGAAAAAAAGTATGAGGAAAATTTTTGTAGATAATTTTATGGTCTACAATTTTTGTCTGGGCTATAATTTTGATAAAACTCGCCGTTTTCGAGAAAAATAAAAAAAAAATAAAATTTTTACTTTGACCTTGAGTAACTTTTTTAGCACACATGGGATCAATGGGGACTTTTGGCATTTTATTTCTACTGGTGTACCCAAGGTCTCTACCAAAATTTAGCTCTGTCGGAATTTTTGTTATTTAAACACTATTTTTATGTCTAATTTGACCGGACTATATTTAACAGATTGCAATTGGTTGTAAACTTAACATAAAGTTAAGAAGACCTGGATTAACATAAAATATAGTTAATATTTGGTTAAAATTAACAAATATTGTTGTACTGTGTATATAAGTTTATGTTTGTATAACCATTATTTTGTGTTAGATTTCTTAAAAATGTTCAAACTTAAATAAAAATTATACGCCCCTTCTCTTTTGTAAAAACTACTTATTTAAAAATAAAGTGCATTTTTAATGCTTTAAATGTATTGTTGATAAACCGTGCTGTCCAATAATGTCTTATTTCCATTAGTTTATTTCAACAAAATATTTTGCCATTTATAAATTATGTTTAAATTAAACATATATATTTAAACCAAATAGGCATTATATGTATTTATTTGTTAAATAAACAAATTTGTTAAATTGTTTATTAAAGTTAATTATTTTGTTGAAATAAGCTTGGAATAAATTGTAATTAAAGTAAATGTTTAGTAGCTTACAAAAATTATTAATTAGATTTATTAAATATTTAACAAAATAATTTGCGATATAATGCTGATATGTAGGTAACAATATTTAATTGTAAATGTATAGGTAAAAAAGTGAAACGATTTATAATGATGCAAACTTTTGTGCAAAGAGCTTGTTGAAATAATGTTTAATTCCAAGGACTTGAATTATTTATTGAGAAAAGAATTGGCAAACCTAAAGATGATGAATTAAAGCCATTTAAGGTAAAAAAAATATTTTCCCCATTTCACGTTCCGCCACTGGATGTTAAGAGTATATTTTGGATATGTTAAAGCCCCTAACGATAAATTAAGTTTATTTTTAATTCACATTCGTAATGTATAAAATTATAGCCATTTAAGGTAAAAAAAATATTTTTCCCATTTCACGTACCGCCAAAGTTGGGCAACTTTTGACCTCATTTTGTTTATATAGTTTTCGGAGAAAACTAAACAGTATTTTGTTATGAGAACATAGATAATATAATAAATATACTGTTCCAGACCGGGCCAGTCACTTTTTCAAACAGTTTCTGAAATATCTGTGTTTTCCAAATTTTAATGCAAGGGAATTGACAAGTATACCAGGGTACTAATTAAATACCTAATTTTTTGGAAAATATAAGATTTTTTGCAACTTTGATATATGGGACCGACACCAAATTTATATGAGTTTATAATGACATTAAATAAACAAGTTCTGCGCAAGCAGAATTTAAATTGAAGCGAAAAAAAGATAACCGAAACATCGAACATGGAACTGACGATGAATGGGATACAAATTTGAGATTATAATTCGGAATTAAGTATTTTACTGATATTTTTTATTACACTGTTCAAAATTTCATGACCATTTTAACACCAAATTTACACCATATATGGTCTATATCGATACAAACCAAAATGGTGTTAAATAGGGTTCGTTGGTCCGGTGTAAATTCAAATACTAAAATAGTGTTAATTTAACTTTCACACAGTATTAAAATAAATTTTAAATGGTGTAAATTGAACTCCTTTTCAGTGTTAAATATTATGTGTTTGTGGTCAAATTAAATCATACTACCCAGAAAAAAGGAAAAAAAGGAAACAGGAAGTTCCTTGACGCATTACTAGTATATTACCAGTGGTATTATTCCAGAAAATGGAACCTTCAACTCGCTAGAGATAATGTTTTTAGTTCGTACCACTAACTTAAAATACTTCAAGTATTGACAGCAGTTTCCACCTATTTAAGGTCTATCGAACAACTTGTAGTGTCACACCAAAGCAAAGGACTACCTGAGCTTATATATTCTTCATGTAAGTCAACAGAGGCGAGATTTAAGAACATCACGTTATCCACAAAAAATAAATACTTATGGGTCAACTAAATTAATATACTAAACTATTCCTTTTTTTCTGTGTAGGTGCACTTCTCAAATATTTTTAGATAAACACCGTTTTGGTGTTCATTTTCAACCATAATTCATGGTGTTATATTAACACCACTTGGTGTTGGATTTTGACACCATTTTAGGATTACTCTTTACACCACAGATATTTTAAACAGTGTAGTGGATGCTACTTATCAACAAATCACATATAGCCTTATATAAATTACAATGAAATATATATACGTAAGAAAATAACTACTCACCACAGTACTGAAATTTTGACTGGAACTATATGTGCATTCACCATAACTTTGCCGCTTGCATTGTTTTCAAGATGACTGTCGTGCAAAGGGCGGGCTCTGTAGGTAATTTTTTACCAACAATTAAAACGAGAACTTGACGTTTAAACTTCAATATTTCGCAGGAATTTTGAATTTTAACATTGGACACAGAACTGACTGGTAAAAGTGAGTACAAAGATTATCAATTTTTTAAAAATTGCTATTATTCAAATCTATGATAAAATATGAAAAATTCATTATTTAATGTTTTATAGTTTGTGGTGAAATTGAAAAATTGAAGATAAATTGAATATATTTTAAAATAAAACCACTCAAATATTTGATTCGGGAGTTGTGACACGCCAAGGTACTGATGTTTTGAATATTTATTATGTTTTTCTACGAACGTGCTTTTGAAAAAATACATTAAAATTGGGTGGACAAGTTTAAAAAACCTGGATCCTTTGTAATATACTAAAATATTTACAAAAAATATTAAAATACCCTACTCTATTGACTGATGACATCAAGTTGTCCAACTTTTGTAGAATCACCCATATGTTATGCATTAATATGTAGTCCAAATTGCAAGTTAATATCTTTTGTAGTTTTTATTAAAATTAGTTTTGACCAAATTCAGCCCAGTGTGGGGCGCGCCTTATGCCTCATATCAAATAAAAATAATCAATCATGATTTAATGCATTTAGACCTCTTATTTTGGTTTTATTCAAAAAATAATCCTAAAAGTTAATAGGTTAAGAATTAAAACAAAAATTTTCATTATAATTGATTTATTCATTTAATTTAAAAAGGTTCTTCTAATTCAAATTCCGAACTGTCCCCGGATTCATTTGAAGATGGGCTCTCGTCTGTAAAAAACACCAAATTTATTAAATTTCTTTCATATTCAACCACTTTAAAAAAATAAAAATCAAATGGTGCTAAATCACAATTTTTCGGTGGCCTCCAAAATCATGCGAACCATCCTGTGACTGTAATTATACAGGGTGCTGGGTGTTTTTTATTACCTTTTTCTCCAGCCTTGGGTACGCAAGATCCTTTAACCATTTCGGTTCCAGATGGACATGAAGATGGGATTGGATCCAATTCTAAAAAATAAATAATTTTGTAATTTTAATGTTTTAAATTGCATTAAGATGCCATTAAATCTTTCATAAAGGTTATGAGAACCATCCTGTGACTATTATTATACAGGGTGTCCAAAAAGGGTGTAACCACTTTGTTAAATTGTTTTTTAGTAATTTTCGCAAATCTGTAACGCTTTGTTTTTATAATAAATACCTACCTAAAATTCTTTTTCTAAAAAGTATAAATAAAATATGATACAGTGAAAAAATTGCTGTACAAGCATAATTTTATATTGTTTTTAATTTTTATTCGATTCACCGTGTACTTTTTGAATAATGGGTGTTTTTTATTACCTTTTCCCATAGTTACGCAAGATCCATTAACCATTTCTGTTCCAAGTGGACATGAATTTTTGACGCAAGATCCAATAATCAATTTTGTTCCAGGTGGACATGAAGATAGAATTGGATCCAAATCTAAAAAATATATAATTTTGCAAATTTTAAAATAGACAGTCAGGTTCCAGCACTTGAGAAGGCACCACGCGAGCTCTTAAAATCGTAAAAGATTAAAACCAACAATAATTTTTAAAAATGTGCAAACCAATTATAGTGAAACAATCAATTTCATAGAGTGCAAACTAAAAGGGTGCAACGGTCAATGAGGAGTGAAGTGTTAAGTGATGAATGAGTTAAGTGCCACCTGTCATTGGACGCTTTTCACTGGACAAACAAAGGAGGTCAAACAAGAGGGGAGGTGGCCATCCGCAAAAAATTGATAATTAACCTTAAGAATATGCATGGCCTAACACATAATCTGCAAATTAAACACGACATATCTTTAAAACCCTAAGAAAAGCACACTGCGAAGGATAATAAATCTGTCAACAACAAATGTATAAGGCAAATCCAAACGAGACCAATAATAAACACTAGACACACAGAATAAACTAACACATTAATCATTATAACCCTAACATAGTAAAAAAAGCATAATAACCAAACTCTACTGATTGTGTAAATATTAGATAACAGAATAATTCCGCTTGTCATTTGTTTAACTAATAAATAAATGCATTACTTAATTTTGGAATTTAAGACAAAAAAAGACAAAACTCTACCACAAAACGTGCTTGGGCAACACAATAACTAATAAAAAATTAAAAAAAAAACACCAAAAGCTACAAGTTACATATCCAGTTACATATCCAGCTAACTATCTATTGATGGTTTTCGGCATCAAGACTGAGGACATGGGCAATGACAATAACGAACAAGACGAAGACCTCGACTAGGACACCCCTGCAGGGAAATAACAACTCCCAACTCCAAATAATAATCCCAAATGTTTGGAGTAATACTAATCGAATGGTCTAGGGGGATTCCGCGTCGTACTTAGTTTTAAATCGGCGTAATTGTCCCCCAAAAACCAACAAACGTCTATCCCTCCCGTCCCTCCTCCTCTATACCCTACTGGGCGTATAGCATCGGCTCGGCGAACCCGAGAATGGCTATTAAAACTATTCGCATGTCGCTCTTGAGCCCCAAAAAGGGGACAGTACGGAACGCAATGGACATTCGCACCCAGCAAACACGGGTGAAGCTGTGCAGTTGCTAGGGGCGAACAAAAATCGGCGTAAGTAAACATAGGCCTTTACGGGGTCCGGGAGTGATGAGGCAATGGGGCTGGTTATACGTCTCTTATACTCATTTTGCAAATTTTAAAATAGACTTGCATTAAGATGGCAACAACTCTTTCATGAAGGTTTGATTGGGGTACCTGTTGAGACTAGGTTAGTATTATAAATATTTGGTAGCTCTAAATACATTTTGGATAAAACTATGTTTGAACCTAAAACAGAATGTAAGAAAGCAGGAAGTATGGTTGAGATGGTTCAACGAGCTGTTAAGTGTGAAAGAGGGCCCTATTGATGATAAGAGTGACTCCATGTGATGTCAGTGTAGGTGTGGATGTTGCTGAAAGGAGTGATCACGAGACAGAATCTAAGCTAGAAGCATTGGAGCAAGAAGGAGTACCTCCCTCAAATTTTTATTTTAGTGAAAACAAGGCAACTAAATGGAAAAGGTTTGATTCATTTTGTGTTCATTCTCAACATATCATTATACTGCAGTTAGATAAGAGAGATTGCCGTTGACTTCAACAAAGAGGGTAATGACGATATTTACGATCTACCAGTGCTGGATTTTATTACAGTATTCGAATACTGTTAGATATTTTGAAAAGAGTTTCGAATAAATTTAACACATGTTTGCCATCATCGAATACTGAGTTTGTTAAAAGTAACCACTATTTGTATTAAATTCCGTGATTAACCAACCATTATAATGGCTGGTTAATAGATATATCTATCAAAATACAGCATACCATACAACACTTCAACTGAAAAAATCACAGTAAAACGATCATAAATATAGACGAATTAAATTTATTTTGATGTACAATAAAAAACGCATCTGATACAAAAAGCGTTCTGGGATGCAAGCACAAATAATTTGCTGTTTACTTTTTATTCTGCAATATACAGGGGCGAGATATTTACTCAAAATTAAAAAAATGTATTTTTCCTTATATCTTTGCAAAAAAAAATTAGGGGGTGCAAATTTGATTTTATGTTTTTATATAAAATTCATTAAAACAACAGACAAGTCACGTTTCAGCACTTGACAAGGCAAGACGCATTGTAACAGCGAGAGTTCTTAAAACGTAAAAGTCAAACCAACAAATAATTTCTCAAAAGTGCAAACAAATTATAGTGAAACAACTGCAGTGAGTATAGACCACCCTACGGTCAAGAATGAGTTAAGAGTTAAGTGATAAGAAAGAGTTAAGTGACAAGTGAGTTTCTGGGTGGTCATACCAAAACCAACAAACAATTTTCATAAAGTGCAATCTAATATACCGTAACTGTCAAGTGAAGTGTTAAGCGATATGAAAGAGTTACGTGACAAGTTTCAGCTTATAGGTATACCACCTCTAGGTCCTATAGGTATACCACCTCTCATTGGACGCTTTGCACTAGACAAACAAAAGAGGTCAAACAAGAGGGGAAGTGGCCATCCGCAAAAAATTGATAAGTATCCTTAAATTTAAATTTAAATTTGCAAATTAAACATGACAGATACCTTTAAAACCCTAAGAAAGGCACACTGCTTAAAGTCTAGAAAAAAAAACAATAAACATCAGTAAACATTAGAAAGACAATACTAACCAAACACCATAAAATAATAAAGAAAATAGACAAACAACAAAAAAAATCTTTTCATTCGAACCTATCGCGGTGATACACCTAAGTTGAGTAGGACAATAAATCTGTCAACAACAAATGCGTAAGGCATGAAACCTAGTAACTTAAATAACGGCCCCAACAAAACAATGTTAATTTTAACCCAAAGGAGACCAATAATAAACATTTGACACTATATAAACTAACACACAATAAATCACGAAAACCCAAACATAGTAAAAACAGCATACTAATCAAACTCTATGGGATTTGTAAACACATTAGATTATAACAGAATAATTGGGCTTGTCATTTGTTTAACTAATAAATAAATGCAATACTTAATTTTGAAAATTAAGAAATTTCGCACTACTGCGGCAATAAACAATTTAAAAAAAAAACATCAAAAGCTACAAGTTACATATCCAACTACTAAACTATCTATTGTTGGTTTTCGGCCTCAAGACTGAAGACACATGTGTAGGAACAATCCTACTTGGACACGGACATGAACAATAATGACAAAAACTTAGACCATGACGTAGGCTTCTGCAGCAAAATAACAACTCCCGAACTCCATATAGTAATCCCAAATGTTTGGAGTAATACTAACTGTACTGTAACTGTACTACTCATAAAAATCATTAAATCAACAGACAGTTCATGGGCACGCAAGGTAAGGACGCGTCGCGACGGTTTGAGTGGACCACTGGTGCAAAATGGCTGTTGGCTATTATCTATGTAGGGGTATATGGTTTAGTCTAATTACCGTCTTCACCGCCTTTTAATTTTTCGCATTTTCCACCAACCATTTCTGATCCAGATGGACATTCCTCCGGTTTATCAATAACTTTTATAACCCAATCACTTCCGCATTTTCCATCTACCATATCTGACCCATCAGGACATTTCTCTCGGTTTTGCTCAACTGCTAAAAAAAACTTTAAAACATATATTTCTTGTTACGTTGTATACTTCTAGTTACCTATTTCGGGTCCACCACTTGGATTTACACACTTTCCATTTACCAATCTAAGTCCAACTGGACATATTCTCGGGTTTTCAAGGGAATCTAAAAATAATTACAGCAATTGGGAGTTACGGTAATTTTTTAGCCAGGTTTATTTAATTTAAAAAGCTGTAACGGGTACAAGAGGTTAAAACACTAATGGGAAAACATTTTCATTGCCCTATAATACAGGGCCTATATGGAGGAGAAAGCATTGAAACAAGGCTAAATCAGTTCTCGTGCACGAACGTTAAAAATGAAATCCAATCTCGCTAATTTTCCACCCACATAATCACCGGCTGGACACCATTATTTTCTAACATTTCTAGTAAATGCAATATTTTAGATAAAACTATGTCTGAACCTTAAAAAGAATGGTTATGGTTAAGATGGTTCAACGAGTTGTTAAGTGGAAAAGAGGGCCCTATTGATGATTAGATGTCAGTGTAGGTGTTGATGTTTCTGAAAGAATTGATCACGAGACAGAATCTGAGCTAGAAGCATTGGAGCAAAAGAAGCGCATCAAGATGTTGTAAGATGATTCGGATAGAGTGCGTCCCTCAAATTTCTATTTTAGTAAAAAGAAGGTAACTAAATGGAAAAAGGCTTGTTCCAATTTCGTGTACATTATCAACATATCATTATAGGATAAAACCGCATCTGATACAAAAAGCGTTCTGGAATGCAAGCACAAATAATTTGCTATTTACTTTATATTGTGCAAGATATTGAGTCAAAACTAAAAATATATTTTTGCTTAAAAATGTGTATATAAATTTTATATAAAATTAATTAAAAAAAAACAGACAGATCAAGTCTAAAATTATCTATGTAGAGGTATAAGGTTTAGTCTTATTACCTTTTTCACCACCTTTTAATTTTTGGCATTTTCCATAAACCATTTCTGATCCAGATGGACATTCCTCCGGTTTTTCAATAACTTCTAAAAACAACCCGTGTCATGTATCTTTTTGCCACCCTGTAGATTTTTATTACCTTCTTTGCTTAATTTTTTTAAAATCCATTTATTTCCGCATTTTCCATCTACCATATCTGACCCATCTGGACATTCCTCTGGGTTTTGCTGAATTGCTAAAAAATACTTTAGAACATATATTTTTTGTCACCTTGTATACATTTAGTTACCTATTTCGTATCTACCGCTTGGATTTACACACTTTCCATTAACCAATCTAAGTCCAACTGGACATATTTTTGGGTTTTGAGGCGACTCTAAAAATAATTATAGCAATTGCGGGTTTGCTTTTTTAAAAATAACCAAATTGATAATTTTTTTATATAGCAAATGTAAAAAATAAAAAAATCGAGAAATTTGATTTGCAACCCAATATACAGGGTGTTATGTTTTTAATGTAATATATTAAATTACCAAATATCTTTTGACATTAGGTGTAACGGAAGAATATTTAAAAAAACAAATTATATTAAATACCCCACTCGGGTTACACTTATGTTCTGTGGGTTATACTATGCTCCACACATCAAAGTCCCACCACGTGACATTGATATAAATAATTGGGGTTAGTTTTCTGTCAGTGTCAACCTAATTTCTTCTTAGTTTTTAAAAATAAAACAATATATGATTTTTGTGTTCTAAATTATAACCTTTAGACACAAAAAAACATGTTTGTTCTACTCCTATTACGAAATATGACCGTTCTAATATCACTTTTTAATGTGGAATGACATTAATTCCTGAAAGTATTGCAGAATGAATTATTCCATCATCGGATGACGGAATAAACACTGGTGGCAACATCTCTGTGTTTAATATCTAACAAATTTAGACAGAATCAACCTAACTTTCTTCCAATCACTTTCTATGGTATTTTTTGGTAGAAAAAGTATAATCTGAAACACGTTTGGAATTGCATATTCCGCTCGAGTGAAAAGTTTGTCACACGAGCCGAAGGCGAGTTTGACTGTTTCACTGGAGCGAAATATGCAATTCCAAACGTGTTTCAGACTACTATTACATTAAATTCAGAAAATAGGACGAAATTAGGTGGAAAGAAAATTAACCTTAATTATTTCTATCAATGTCGTATGCTCTTAATACACTTTCAGGAGTCCCTTATTTAAAGAAATGGTGATGTCAAAATGCATAAAACAATATCACCCACAATGTAAAGATTCACCGTTCTGTATTTATTTACACATCCCTCTATTAGCTGATCCAATGCTTTGAAAATTTAGTACCTATTTTAAAAACTCCATACACTGTTTAAAGTATCTGTGGTGTAAAGAGTAATCCTAAAATGGTGTCAAAATCCAACACCAAGTGGTGTTAATATAAACACCATGAATTATGGTTGAAAATGTTATATACAGCAAACACCAAAACGGTGTTAATCTAAAAATATTTGAGAAGTGCACCTACACAGAAAAAAAGAAATAGTTCATTTAACTATATTAATTTAGTTGACTCATAAGTATTTATTTAAATCAAATGTGGGAAGGTTAATATAAACAAAGATTAGTTTGACGGTACTAAACCAGATAGTTATTTTATTTTTTTTAAATTGGTTAAATTAACCCAGAAAACTTTAGTGAAACCAACCCGCTGTATGGTTCAGTTTACTAAATATGTTGTTTGTAAAATAAGAGTTATTTCAACCTAAAACACTCTGTTAAAACGATTAAAACAATTTGCCGTGCATTCCTGGTTGCATAGTGTGTACCGATCGCGGCAAAGGCGGTGTGGATCACGTGATGTTCTTAAATCTCGCCTCTGTTGACTTACATGAAGAGTATATAAGCTCAGGTAGTCCTTTGCTTTGGTGTGACACTACAAGTTGTTTGATACTAAGGAGACCTTAAATAGGTGGAAACAGCTGTCAATACTTGAAGTATTTGAAGTAAGTGGAACGCACTAAAAACATTATCTCTAGCGAGTTGAAGGTTCAATTTTCTGGAATAATACCACTTTTTTTTACTTTTTTCTGTGTAGTATGATTTAATTTGACCAAAAACACATATTATTTAACACTGAAAAGGAGTTCAATTTACACCAGGTAAAATTTATTTTAATACTGTGTGAAATTTGAAAAATTTACACTATTTTAGTATTTGAATTTACACCGGACCAACGAACCATATTTAACACCATTTTGGTTTGTATCGATATAGACCATGTATGGTGTTAATTTGGTGTTAAAATGGTCATGAAATTTTGAACAGTGTAACCACTTAACATTAACACCCTGACAAAAAATTATTTTTTTGTTTAGTCTGATGAAATTAGGACAATTTAACTGGTTAAACGTTACACATTCAGGTTGTGTAAATAAATCCAAAAGCACTTTCCTTTACAATACTTTACATTGCGAAAGCATGCTCTAACTTGCATTCTAAATAATGGAAATCATTTTGGGCATCTGCTGTAAAAGGTAATACATTTTTTAATTACATATTTGGCAACACTGCATTAAAAAGTAATAGACAAGGTTAATCCACAAATCCCTTTTTGGTAGGATTATAACAAATTATTATTTGTCTTTTGAATTAAAAAAAAAAACTATCAGGTGCTTATTTATGGACCCTAAGAACCTACCCATTTTAATATATTACATTAATTACATACCACTCTTATCTGTACAATAAAATATGGACATGTTAAGATGATAAACAGTGTGTCCGGGGATAGGTGAAACGACTAAACATTGTAAAATAAAAAAAAATTAATTCAATTTTAATTTTTATGGGTTTAGCCCTGCTTGATTAATTTTCAACTTAATTTAATTTTGAAAAATCGGTAAAGTAGAACTTTACTGCCGATTTAATATATATGTCCACTGCTACTCAGCAGCAACTAAGTTATATTTAAAAAAAGCACATAACCGTTGCAACAACAGTATACGTAGACACTTCCTACATTCAAATGACATTTGATTTGATCATCAAATGACATTTGATTTGATCATCAATATTAATTATTAGTATTATTAAATGTGATTTCGGATAAAATTTAATATGCACCTCAGCATTAAAGTAATTTTTTATCACTCACGTGGTTATTTGCCTGGGCTTTCGCCTCTGCAAATAATTTCCACAATCGTGATAAAAAATACGACTTTACTGCCTTGATACATAAATAACTATTTTGTGTAGGTAAAATGCCTTTCATATGGGATATACGACAAAATATTATAAGTAAAAGTTGTTTGGAATTAACACTTAGGCCCCTATACCAAATTTCAAAATTCTTGGCCAACTTCGATTTTTATATTTTTACTATTTTTTGTGTGTGGAAAGTGCCTTTCATATGAGATATACGACAAAATATTATAAAAAAAAGTTGTTTAGAATCATATTTTAGGTCCATATACCAAATTTCAAATTTCTTGACCACTTTTATTTTGTAAAAATCTAGGTATAAATAAATTTAAAATTTGGTATACAGGCCTAAAATATGATTTTAAACAATTTTTTTATATTATTTTGTCGTATATCACAATGTGAACTTTTTTTATATGAACTGCACTTTACCTTCACAATTTTTTTTTAATATTTCCAAGGCATACTTGATTTTTAAAAACTTTAAATTATGTTGAAAATTAATCTTTTATAAAGCAGGGCGAATCCCTGAAAATGAAAATTGAATTCAATTATTTTTTTGTCTTTACAAGAGTCGTTTCACCTATCCGGGGACACACTGTATGTAAGTACTAAATATAATTATAAACTATATTATTTTACAAATTCAATCTTTGACTTTTTGCCATGGTACCTGTTTTTATATTGTAATTGTAATAATCTTCTTCACCACCCATTGGACTTGGACCTGTTTTTATATTGTAATTGTAATAATCTTCTTCACCACCCATTGGACTTATGCATTTTCCTCCAACCATTCTTTTACCAACTGGGCATCTTTTTAGGTTTTGAGCAGGTTCTAAAACTTATTTTAAAAAAATTATACCTCGTGTAATAAAGCTAACCTAAACTGCGTTTTATCACTTGTAAATTTGTGATGTATTGGCGCAATTCTGATTCAGCACGAAACCCTGTATATTTATAATTACCTTTTTCATATCCTCCTGCTGGATTTATACACTTTCCATCAACCAACCTGAGTCCAACTGGACATGGTTTTGGTGTTTCATCAGACCCTAAAAACTCGATTATTTTAATGTAATTAAACTGCGCACCACTCAATGTGTCGCGACCAAAAAGTTCGTCCTTTTTCAAAACGACATAACTTTTTTGTTTCTTGAACGATTTTATTTTGGTCTGTGATGTCTGCTAACCCCATCCTCTGGCAATTCATGCTATAGATATTAAGCATACGGTTCTTCAAGTAAATTTCCTACAGGGTGATATGTAAAACGGTGAAAAATTTCAATAACTTCATCCAAGCCCCGTTTGTAACACAATAATTTTTGTTTCGTTTTTACTTTGAAATAATGAAGTATTATGTGTTACCTTGAAACGTTTTTCAAATTTTTCGAATTGGAATCTTAGTAACGAAAATATGATTTTTTTTTCAAAAGAGTACATTTAAGGCTTTTTGGTAGGCAATATATTCAGTCTTTTTAAGAACAAGAAAATAAGATGGTAAAAGATTGTTCCTTGAATAATTCTGAAAAAGCGACAAGCAACAAACTTCCATTATTTTCAGAGGGGCCTAAGCAAAGACCACTTTTTCAAAATGACATTTTGGTGAAAATTTGCGAAAACTAAACCTGAACCGATATTTACGTTCGTGACATGTTTTCTTTATAATTTTGACCTCCTGATTTTGATTCAGTTGTCAAATTTGAGTTTCAGATAAAACCAAAATCATCAAGAATCAAAATTCGAAAACAATTCCCTGTTGTTAAATGTCTTAATAAAATCCGATTGCTCTCGTGTTTCTTGCATATTTATGATGAAAATGCCATTTGGGTATTCATTTTTTGGGCGAAATTACTGCAATTTGTTTGAGTGGTTAGGATAATGTTACATAACTTACATTTACATTGTGCAGTAGTGATAACATCATTGATAAGCACCTACCTAATTTATAATAAAGTTAAATAAAAATATTTTTGAAAATTGTATGCGTAGATATAATCATAATCAAAACTTCAACATTCAACAGAAAAATGTATCAAACAATAACAATAATACCTTTCAATATTTCGTTGGCCCTCCCCTAAGCCGTAATAATTCGTTAACCCTCCTGGGCATTCCCTCGACCAAGTTCCTTAGAAATTTCTGGGGTACCCCATTCTTCCTGAATAGCATTTACCAATTCATCCAAATTTTCCATGCCTCCTTCCCTCTCTTTCATCTTCAATTTTATCCTGCTCCACACATGCTCAATAGGATTCATATCCGGAGACAAAGGTGGCCAATTCATTTTCTCAATATGGTGGTCCCTTAAATACTCATTTACGATATGTAAAAAAACAGTAAAAACCAGTAATCGGATTTTATTTTATTGTTTTCGAATCTTGATTCTTAGTGATTTTGGTTTTAACTGAAACTTAAATTTGACAACTGATACACAATCAGGAGGTAAAAATTATGAAGAAAACATTTTAGGAAAGTAAATATCGGTTTAAGTATAGTTTTTGCAAACTTTCACAAAAATGTCATTTTCAAAAAGTGGTCTTAGCTTAGGCCCTCTGAAAATAATGAAAGTTTGTTGCTTGTCGCTTGTTCAGAATTATTTAAGGAACAATCTTTCACCATCTTATCTTCTTGTTCCTAAAAAGACTGAGTGTATTGCCTAAAAAAAAGCCTTAAATGTACTCTTTTGGAAAAAAATCATATTTTCGTTGCTAAGATTCCAATTCGAAAAATTTGAAAAACGTTTCAAGGTAACACATAATACTTTATTATTTCAAAGTAAAAACGAAAAAAAATTATTATTTTACAAACGGGGCTTGGATAAAGTTATTGAAATTTTTCACCGTTTAACATATCACCCTGTAGGAAGTTTACTTGACCAACCGTGAGCTTCATATCTATAGCATAAATTGCCAGAGGATGAGGCTAGCAGACATCACAAACCAAAATTAAATTGTTCAAGAAACAAAAAAGTTATATTGTTTTGAAAAAGAACGAACTTTTTGGTCGCGACACATTGAGTGGTGCGCAGTTTAGTTAAAGAATTATTAAATGCTTTAAAAAATAGTATATAAAACACGGCGAGAAATCATATTAACTGCCTCGCTCAGATCTGCAGCGAACACTGAGCTCAGTTTTAATTAAATAAGCACTTCATCCGCCTGTTAGCTTAAAAATTAGAACATAAGATTTTCTAGCATTTCATTTTATCCTTCGATATCAAGCATGCGTTTATTTCCGCCAATTACCAACCAATCAGAGCGAGCGGCCGTTGATCCGATGAGGGCCGATGGTTTTAATGTTTTTGTTTTGAGGTTAAGTTAAGGTTTTGCCTGTTTTTGCTTTCTGAATCATCTTGTGACTTTGGAGGAATTTGTATTACATTTGGATTATTATATTTGGGTGAATTTCACGAAATGTCCCCCGATGGTGTTACCACGTTATAATTAATAAAACTAAACGACCTACACTTTTATTGTGTTTTGATCTTTCATAATTAAGTAGATGTTACAGCTCAGGCCGCAGATTTTTAACCGCAATGAATTATTTTTTACAATGTTTTAAAAGTCTAAAACCTATCCTCCGTGATTGTTACTCTTTCTAGGTTAACCTATATATTTTCGAATATCTGAGGTAGTAAAAGCAAACTAAAAATATCTGTTCACTAAGTAAATTAAACACATCCAAAGCAATCTAATCAATTATAAAATATTATTAAAAATTTAAAGAAATAAATTTTATAACCATTTATGTAGGTGTTACAAAAATTGATTCCATCCTTCGTGAATCTGTTTTTGCTTTAAATTTTATGCAACGGATGGCGCTTTAATCATTTTAAATCAGCAAAAACCTCTGTTTACGACATTATAGATGCATGTGATTCCTTAAGGTTAGTTAGAATGTATATGCAGATGAGAGTATTGCTGTTTTACAATTCAAAAGTTCATTAATTTGCTATTTAAAGACCTATCCACCGTAAAGTGTAATATCTCAGTAAGTAGATATTTTTATAAATATTTTATCAAAAGATACAATAACTTATTTCAAATATTTAAAGGGATGTTTTAAACAAAACATACGAAATTATAACCTCCGTGAAGCTTTCTTTCGTGAAGCTATAATATTCAAAATGTATGATTTCTTAAAATTCTTGCATTAGTGCAGAACCACTTATGTTATGTTATTACTAGACCTGGTGGCTTCCCAAAAACCCCATTCTAGACTAACAGTGAAACAACCAAAAATAAAAAATAATCATTTTCACTTGGGGGGCAATATATTCACCCATTTCTTAAATATTGTTTTAAATCGAGTTCTTACTACTCCAAATTTAATTATATTTCTTAATTCAAAATCAAGCCATTTGAAATACCTATTCAGAATTAGTGAAGGAAAAGTAAGGTAAAATAAGGTAATATACTTTTAGGTATACCCCCACCGCCAATTCTCCTTCCCCTTATATTTTTAACTAATGAAATTGTATAATTTCACTACAAAATTAGTAGCACCTGTTTTGTGAAAAAATACCTTATGATAATTTGTTAAATATATTCAAAATAACTACTGGTATAATTTAATAATCTACTGGTTATATTTACCTAGACTTCGTTCTATAAGAGTATAGATAAAACAAATTGAAAACAAAAACTTTAAAGAAAACATTTTTCCCTTTTTATTTTCAATAACTGAATAAAATATTATCTATACTTGTTATTTATTTATTTATTAGAAAAGTAATAAAACATTTTTACTTCTTTTTATGTGGTCAATAAAATATTATTGATTTTTTAATTGCACACATATAAAAATAAATATTTATTAGTTTTTAATTACATTTCTGATAAAATAAAATATATTCAAACATGTCAATAAAATTAAAATTTCACGATCCAGTAGCAGTCTCCCCGCCCCGATTCGATATTGTTTTGTCGCCGCCGCGGCGATGAGATTTTTAATATGAAGTTTTCAATTAAATCAGATTCCCTTTGACGTTATCCAGATCATAGGAGGCGGTTGCGGTTTTCTTTTTTAACAATTTAATATGATCCTGAACAATGCCTCGCTCCAAAATAATTATTAATTGAATTTTTCGGGGATTATTTTTATTGATTTTAGGAGAAGCCCTTTTTAACAAGATTATGTGTTTTAAGTTGTCAAGCAAATCAAAGACCAGGTTAATAACATTTTTTACTCTAAAAATTTACTATGATTATTTCCCTCAATATAATATGAACCAATCAAAAGCCTTGAATTTTCGAATAAATTTCGTTTAAATAAGCGATTAAATCACTAGACCTTTTTAACAGCGATTAAATTTTAGCCTCCATATTGGATTTTTGTTTACGATTTTATGGTGTTATTTACAAGTTTTAACAAACATTTTTTAAAAAACAATAAAAAATAAGTTATCTAGTTTACGAAATATCAATTATTACTTATTACATACCTTAAATTAATGGAATTTTCATTAAAAAAATATTTATAAACTTTGACACATACGTCAGATTTTATGAATGGTCAAATAGTTTCCTTTAATTCGAGAAATAATCTAGACGTATATCACTCAACCTATAAATTTAATCTGTCAAACTATGCTCAGTATGTTTTTTATTTGATTTTTCTTTTTGGAAAATAGTTTCATGCAAAATAATTAAAAATAAAACCCCTCGACCGCTATAGCGGTCTCGTGATTTTATTAAATTATTTTGCATTCAACATTTTCCAACAAAAACCAAACAAAAAACTACTGAGCCTAGTTTGCCCGATTAAATTTATAGTTCTCGTGATATAATATATGAGTATTATTGATGAAATGGCATCCTTGACATTGATCCTTTTTTCCCGTACACCGCCAACTAACGAGCCACTCGTCCTTCCATGGCATACTCGATATAGCAACCCTCAAATAGCGATTCGCCCGTAAATCGGTCTATTGAACTCAAATCGGTTTAGTGAGGCGGACGTCGATAACAAGCCGGTGACAACTAACTTGATTTTGATTTATTTCAATCGATATTTTGCAAAATAAAGAAAGGTACGCCCATGTAGAAATTAAAGAACGATAGATATGCTTGGGAAAACTTAATACCTTAAAATTCGTTATTTATTCGAAAAGTAACATTAAGCCCGGGTCGGGTTTTAATTTCCATCCTATATCCGGTAAAAGAAATCATTTTCAATATTTAGATACAGAAATTTGGCCTGCAGGCTTTTTAAAATGTTTTAATCTCTCATAAACGAAATGCAGCAACATTTAGAGGAAGCCATTACCAACTAAAAAGATTATCCAGTACGGGGATTTCGAAAAAATATGTGCGCAAGTATTAATTTTCAAACGTATATTACGTTTAGATCTAAAAAGGCTTGTTTACTTTTTCCGGGGCACGGCTATGTAACATAGGTAGCAGATAATTTCTAAACGTTGGAGCGGTATTTATCGAAGAAAATTTTCCACTTTGATGTATAAAATGCCTAATTTTATCTAATTTTGGAACCTTTTTAATATCTCGGTCATCACTCATACCTATAGGTATACACCAAATATAATATAAGTATTTGAAAAAATTCTCATTTGTTAAAATTCGAATTGTACAAAATTCCGTTTTATAAAACTATTGGATAAAATTCTCATTGGATAAAATTCCCATTGGATACAATTCTCATTGGATAAAGTTCTCATTCGATAAAATTTACATTAGATAAAAAAATTAGTAGTACCTACTAATAATTATATTGTACCAAATTTTTTTATAATTTTAGAATGGTGTGTTATTTAATTGTGTGCATGTTATTTTTGTGTTAATATATGTGGGTATGTGTTAATTTTTTTGTTTAGGAAATTAATTAATAAATCAACATTTCTTATCAAAATTATTTTTATTTAAGTTTCCAATTTCCAACAAAACTTTTGTTACTGGGTCTACAAAAAGGTTTGTAAAATAAGGTCCTTTTTGGAGAGTTACGGTTGAATTATTGACAGAATTTTGTTATTAAATCTAATAATTACAAACTTAATATAAAGTCATCTGGACCTGGATTAACATAAAATCTGGTTAATATTTGGTTAAAATTAACAAATATTTTTGTACGTGTAGTTTCACGATATATTACAAGAGCATTTTACAAGAAAATTTATTTTGCAAACGTTCAAAAAGATCCGATAGATAGAAGATTTTTGATATATCAATTATAATGAAAGGAAAATTAATGTCACGTTATACAAATTTTTAAGAAAAATTTGTTTATTAACTTTTAAACATTTCTGTATCGGTTGATTATCTCGTAATATATTTATTAAAAATTGATACAAATTTTAGAGGATGTTGAGAAATTAATGCAATTCATTATTGCTGCTAATTTATTTAATTTTTTTAATAAAAAAATGCCAATTCTGTTTTCCACATGAAATTTTTTTTGTGCTTTTGGACTCGAATGTAAAAAAGTGGCCAAATTTTATTAAAAAACTAAGAAAGATATAATTATGAATCTTTAGCACCATTTTTTTGGTAATCTTAATCCGGTACACATATTAATTCAATTGGCTAAAGTAAGATACAAATTAAAATATTTTGCAAACTATTTATACTATCATTATTTTTTTTACCTTAAATGACAAAGATGGCAATAAATACCCTCTCTCTTATACTTATACAATCGCCTATAACTTCTCACTTAGTCCTCCTTGTGCTTGCAATTTTGTCTTGTAATATTGACTTGTTAAGTGTTTATTTTGTTTTTCATTTAAGTTAACTTACCTTATTGTAAAGTTTCGCAAAACCATAAAAGCAATTGAGTTTTATCAAGTTGCAATCTTATATAATACAGGTCTTTGTAAAAATAACCCTAAATAGGTAAAAATTAATGTATGTACCCACTCCATTGGGAAATCCATTCTAATTTGTGTGTGGTCCATTCTTTGAACACACAACGTACGAAATAATACAAAACAAAACCCTTATATAATATAATATATTATGTACTTAGATAAATAAACATGAGTGAAATTTTTCGGAGGTATTGATTTTATCACGGGGCTCTAAGGATGTTAATTATGATCTTTACGAACGGACGGCATAAAATTTCATAAATATTAGAAAGGTTTCAGAAGGGAAAAATCTTTCGTTCGCATAATAATAACAGCAGGATGGCCTGTGGCCGCAAAACACGATATACAGAGTGTTTCTTTTATCTTAAAAACTAAGGATGTTAATTATGATCTTTACGAACGGACGGCATAAAATTTCATAAATATTAGAAAGGTTTCAGAAGGGAAAAATCTTTCGTTCGCATAATAATAACAGCAGGATGGCCTGTGGCCGCAAAACACGATATACAGAGTGTTTCTTTTATCTTAAAAACTACCAGATCCACACAAAAATTGCAAGGGAGATTTTTTTTTTAAATATTACATTTTTATATATACAGGGTGTTTCGTTTTCACTCACTGGGACGATACCAACTTTTTTTGCTAAAAGTAAAAAAATATAATGTTAAAAAGTAGGTATCCATCTCTTAATTTTAATAGCTGAGCTACGAGTTGATACTAAATTTTTTGCACAATATTATACAGGGTGTTTTATATACTGTGAAATATAAATATTTTTAAAATTGAAAACGCTTGTATATAGAAAACTTGTGTAGGTACGTTTAATAATAAAAATAAATAAATTTAAGATTTTTTTAGGGCATAAGTAATTAACTTTTTCAAAATTCAACAAATTGATTAAAAAAAAACAAGCTAAATAGGGACCCTCGATCAATTTTAAAAATAAATCAAATTACTTTATTTTGTAAAAGTTAATTATGGTAAAAATAACATCTTGACACAAAAAAAAAATGTTAAACTTTTACCCACCTCCGCCTGAATATTATAATTTTTATATTTAAGATGGCTTTGGTTGAAGGAAATTACAAAAAATTTAAATAAAAATTTTAAAAAATATTTATTTTTACCATACACAAGTATTCTATATACAGGCGTTTTCAATTTTAAAAATATTCAAATTCCGCACCACCCTAGTAGTCACCCTGTATATGCCGGAGTGGAATTTATTAATGAGGTTCTGGGGTCAGTAAGCTGCTACAGTATCTAAAAAGGATTAGAAGGGTAATTCGAAAATTAAGTAAAATAAAAGGGGAAGCAAGCGTTGTATCCAAAAAATATTATGCTCAAATTCTATACACATAAATAACTCATTTTGTTTGGAAATTTAACGTCCCTTTAAAATCAAATTCATAAAAAATTATTAAAAACTACTAAATGCTAAATATAGTAAAAGATTTAAAAAATCGTTTTAAGGGAAATTTAAATCATAATAAAAAAATAATTAACCCTGAAAAAAATTAAAAAATCGTCAAAACATTTTAAATATCGTACAAAATTAAAAAAAAATTAAATAAAACAAAAATTTACAAATGTTTATTTGATTTAAAGTAGGTAATTTAAAACAATAAAAGTATTCAGAGTAATATATAAATATTTTGTTGAAAATATCATTACACTGAAAAAAGTCTATGTGTTATTACACAACTTCTTCTGTATTTATTACAGAACTGTTTCTGTAATAGTATATTACGCAACAAGTGTGGGAAGTGGCAAATTACGCATGAGTGGAAAAAGTTGCGCACGAGCGAAGCGAGTGCGCATTTCCACGAATGCGTAATTTGCCTTCCCACACGAGTTGTGTACTATACTTT